GTATAAAAAAATACAAGAACCATACCGTAAACAAACACCCTCTCAGAAACACATCTGCATTTGAATACTTTTGCACTTATTTCAGCAAGAGACACAAACTGGTTACAAAGGCTCTGATACCAACCAGATTTCCAAGATGGTATTTCTTAATTGTCCTCGTCGTCTTCAGATAAGTCCATACCTTCCACAAAAGTCATACATTCCAGGGGTAAAGTTATCATCATTTGTCTGACCCAGTGGTGCTGCTGATTTCTTCCAGAAAAGTGCAATTAGAGGTTTAGATTGTAACAGACGTATATCGATCAATAACTGTTCACATTTCTTTTTCTCTTTTTCTCCTTTTCTCCGTTTTCCTCCCTCTCTTCCAGGCTGGAGGACTCCCCACCACAGCCCCCCCGAAAGCAGCAGTCCCCCTCCAACAACGGCACAGGTAGGACCAGGCTTCTTTTTTTAAATGAATTTTTTATTTTTTATTCAGAATCAGAATAAGGTTTATTGCCAAGTAGGTTTTTCACTTACAAGGAATTTGCCTTTTTGGTGTTTGGTGCACAACACTTCTATGAGAAGCAATAAGGACTTACAATGTTGAAATAAAAATGTAGAATAAAATAAATTAAAATAATAATAAATAATAAAATAAAATATTGAATGTCAAAACGACAGACCAGAAAATGCTGAGACAAGGTCAAGTACAAACAATGAAAAAGTAAGGATTTTTTTTTTCTTTTTGCAAAAACAACAACCACTCATTCCCTCCCCAATCCTACAAGATTATGTTACAGATCAGTAATAACCCACATCCTTCCTTCTTACCGAACACAAACATGTGAATAAAAAAGTATATAGACAATTATAAAAGAGAGTTGTAAGAATAACATAAATAAACAAATAAATAGAAAACACCAAAAAATAAAACTGAGAAGTAACATTTTCAGTGGGTTGAGATGAAGCAGGGAGGAAAAGAAAATGTAGTCAAAAGTCAAAAGTGTCAAAAGTGGACATTTAATTTGTCCTGTAGTCTTTAATCTAGCTTTGTAAATAATCATAGAGCCTCAAACTGAAACAAATCCGGGTTTCTTATCCCCTCCAGAACTCACCGGCTCAGTCTGAGCTGGAAAAGTTTGTTTTCTTCCTCTTTTTTGTCTCTTCTCATAGTTTGACTTGCAGTGA